AATGCGAAATTGGGTATGCATTCCCCCCCCCCCCCTCAACCCTGCTGTAAGCGTAATTTTAATCTACCCTCCATAGGCAAAGATTGACAATTCTTTAAACATCTTTGCGCAAAAACATTTAGAGAAAAAATTCTGAAAGTAATTTCATTTGAGAATAATCTTTAATTTAATTGCTATATACCTTTTCTTGAAATTTTATTAGATTAAGATAATCAAGTTTGACATTGACAAATTTTATCTGAATCTTAAAATAATGTCCCAAAAATGTATTGCTTAAACCAAAGATTAAAACAAGTTAAAACTAAGTTCAATTCAAAAATGAATTTCCAAATAGCCTCAACTTACTGCGTAAGAAATGTTTTATTGTAAAACAAAAATATTATCATTTATCAACCACTTTATAAGTCAATTCCCCCCCTCCCCCCCCTATGCGTTTCCCCCTGGGAAGGGGGGGGGGGTCACGCGAGTCACGCAAGTTATACAAATCATAACAATCTTCTTCTTCAAACTTTTATTAACGAGAAAACTACAATTGGCAGTGGCGGAAATAGGGGGGCTATTGGGGTTTTTTTACTCCCCCCCAGAATTTGTTTTTAAAAAAGGTTGATTTTAAAATTTGCACGAAAAAAATTAAAATGTGCAGATACTTCGGATATTTCAGATTTTAAGTCAACATATTCTAAATGATTCTAAATTCTAGTCAATGTCATTACAATTAGATATTTTTTTAATACATAGAAAAAAAGTGTATTGGCAATGAAGAATACATTTTTACTGCTAAATAATGCCGTTTCCATATTAGATTTATTTAAGATCTTAACATACTACATTGACGACAAGAAATTTTTAGAAATTAAAAATTACTAATTAGAAATTAGAAATTAGAATATAAACAAAGACAATATTTTTTCAAAGTTTTGCAGAGTGCCAGAGTAGCTTTTATAAAGATTTAAAAAAGTAACATCTTTTTCTCTCAGAGTAAAACTATTTTTTAATTTACTTAAAATAAATTCAGTTTTTTTACAGATCTTTGTAGTTAATGTAAAATGAATGACTATAGTGAAGGATATAAACAAAGGTAAAAGCTGGAAGGTATGAAATGAAGCCTTTATTTGATGGAGTTTGTAAATACCAGAAATGAGTGGAAAATGCAAATCAAACCCAACTAAAACCAATAATTTGATATACGTCATGATATTTTTCTAAAAATATATATGGAAATGCGCGAACGTTAGAATTATGTATGAAATTGCTTATCGGAGAATCATTGTCCTTGAGGATCATAATTTCTTTGACTATAGGTTGAATGTTAATAATAATAACGCTCTGTATAAAGATTTGAGAAAAAAAGCACTGCTCTGAAAAAAGCTGTAAACAGAGAGACTGTTGCAATTGAAAAATGTTAAAAGTACGGTCAGAAGCACAAACATAGTGTTCTGGAACTATTATAGAATTGGTCAGTAATCATTTTGGAAATTCAATTTTTTCATTGAATGAATATCGACCGATTAATTTGGTACAAAAATACAAGTTAGTGCGAATTCTTAAATGACTTCCGAAAAAATTTAAGATAAGAAGGTGTACCTCAAGATTTATCGTCATAAATCTTGAAATATCTTGAGAAGTGAAGATTAACTGGATAATAGTATATGTTGAATGAGCGGGGGAAGGCAGGCGCCCATGAGCCACCACTATTTCCTCTTCCGAGCCTCATGCGTCACACAAAAGCTCCAATCTTGCAAGTTGAATAATTATATAAATGAACAATATACAAGTCTTAATAAAAAAGTTCGAATACATAAAAACAGTCAATTCTAAAGAATATATTGGTTAAATTAAGAAAAGTTCTAATGACCGAGCGAATTAGTTCAGTTCACTATAGATAAGAAGTATAAAATTATATCAAATCAAAAACGGTTATTTCTCAATGTTGCAAACTTGCAATTAGTTTTCTTATGTCAATCATTTCAGTTTAAATCTCACACTTAAAACGAAAGTATATGTAACAGGTTTATTAAATACAATTTTCTCAAGGTTATCACTAGGACTGAAGAGAAGCAAGGACGGTGAGGGCATCAGCTAACCTCTGAACCTCAGTCTCACTTTGAGCAAGTTTCTCTTCATTGCTCTTCCGAACCTCTTCCGGTATTTTACTATCTAAAAATAAATCCTTATAAAATACAGTGAAACCCTTAATAACGAATACATCGGAAGAATTTATCAAATGTCGTCTTGACAATTTTTCAATGAGTTTTATTACGTAAATTACAGTATTAATTTGAGAAAATAAATAAATAGCCATGAATATGCGGGAACAGTTTTGAGTTCCATATAAGCATTTAATTAAAAAACTAAATATTTGGAACATACCATTATCAGAAAGTGAAGAATACGATATTTGATGAATTCTTTCGATGTATTCGTTATTAAGGGTTTCACTGTAAAAATCAACCCATTTACCCCCCTTCATCTAATCCTATTCCCACCCAATCTCGACCCATTTAAAGGGAATGTTGTTTTCATTTCAAGTGACCCTCCATTCAAAAAATAAGCATGTCCAATCCCCAATGGTACCGTTAAAAACGGTATCTGATTGACAATGTAAATAATATCGTCGTTTGTCTAGCTCGTAGTGTTCTAAATTTACAATTTCTTTCATTGCCTTTGTACTTTGTAGCAAGTCACTATTTAACCCAGATTGAAAATAACATTGTTTTTATAGAGAAATTATGGATATACCATTAATTCTGGATTAGACGAAGCTTTAAGGGTAGTATTGTGCATCGAATATGCCACTATATAAATAAAGATATTTTTCATACTAAATGCTTAGTCCCTTTAATCCAATTCATTACTACCTTTGACTGCACTGAGTTTAGTGAGTTTCTCAATTTGGATGTTAAGCATTGTTCTCTTCTTCTCCAGTTTCTCTATCTCCTTGAGAGGATCGATCAAACCCTTCAGGTTCAGATGAGCAGAAACCTTAACAAGAAATCTTTTAAAATATTAATATTTATGAACAAAAAAAGTTATTCTGTTAGTTTGTTGGGTGTATAATGTATATTTCATGCAAATCAAATTTATTTACTTTTGCATGCAAATAAGTTTATTTACTTTTGCTCTGAAGTGAATGTATTCATTTTTATTATTGGTCTTAAATAAGATTCTAAAAATAATTGCATTGCCTCTTTTTTTAAAGTTACTTCGAGCATAACCCGACGTTTTTGCCACACCGCCAGTTCCGGTAAAGTGCATTACTCAGTATGTCCGGAGACAGGGTACTGCCCTCTTGGCAATAAGAGTTTACAGGAGATTATTTGTTCGACCTCAAGTAATTGGTTTACCTTATCGGAGACTGTGACGATAGCACATCCAACCGGAGGAGAATCCGTGACCACAACCCTGCTACAGGTTGACAGGGTTTCAATAGCTCCAGAGTACCGACGAATTATATCAGCCGAGGTTTCACAGAACACCCGGAGATAGAGTTCTGTTTTAACCTTGTTCGGTAGATTGTAGTCGGCTCTAGTTGATCTTACAACTGCAGCAACCTTCTGGACAAACCTTACCTCTTCTTCTATCACAAGATTCCTGAACAAATAATACATTTTACTAAATATTTGGACAATGTTAGATCAAGTATGTTAAAAAAAACCTATGAAGTGCCGTTAGGTAGAAGTCATGTAAAATGATTTCCAAAATGGTATCTCACATTAAAAAGCTTTTATATTGACTGAGCAGTTACATATTAGTCAAAAATTGTCAAAATGACAAAAAAACTTGCAATTTAAGAAAATTACTCTAGAAAATTAATCAAAATGCTAAAATTTCGGATGTGAATAAGTTTTGACCTAACACTGTATTAAAATTTAACATTTTTAATACGGTGCACCCAAAGACTTAACATGGGGGGAGGTAGAGAGGAAGGAGTGTTTACCTAAAGTTAAAGTTGGTCATCTGAGGGAATGGTGTAACGGTGATTGAAGGAGGTTCGTTACTGCTCCATCTCGGTAATCGTTGGAACATTTCCTCAGAGATAAAGGGCATAAAGGGAGATATCATTCTTAATCCTCCGTCTAGGCAGGTATAGAGAACATGACGAGCTGTCAGGATAGCTCCGGAGTCCGAACCCTGGAAGATTGGTTTCAAATACTCCAGGTATACGTCGCATAGCTCGTACAACCAGAAGTTGTAAATGGCCGAGGTTCCCTCGGGGAAGTTGTAGGCCTGAAATGCCGCGTGACAGGTTTCAATAGCAAAGGCAAGACGGGAAAGAATCCATCGATCCTTGTGCGCGAGTTGAGATGGTTCAGGAAGCGCAACTCCTTTTCCGTCGGGTAGAGATTTCTGCTCAGCAGCGCTCAGAGAGTTCATTCTGTGATACCACCTAAATACCCCCAAATATAAACACAAAATAAAAACATGCTTTCCACTAATAATGTTTTAAATTATGCATCTCGAAAAACGTATTTTATAATATTAGTAAAAATACACTACCTGGAAAGAGCTTGAAATTGCCAGTAGCTTGGAGACTCTCCAAGTGCTTTAAAAACCTCTAAATCAGATTGAGTCGGAGTTGATCCTCCAAGGAAGAGAGTTCCTTGTAGAACACTGTTCAGCATTTGTTTCCCAGATCCCGAAACAATATCAGATTTATCCGGAATCGGTTGGAAGGTTCCAGAGCCAGATTTGGCAGCTTCGCTGGAAATCAAGGATTGGACAAGACCTTTTTTGGGCTGAAAGTTGGGTCCCAGATACATTAGTGCAAATTTAGTCGCGTTCCAGAGTTTGTTGCAGAAGAAACGGTATCCCTGAACCCGGAGAACATCCAGGTTAATATCTCTACCCTGAGCAGTGTACGCACACAGAGCAAACCTAAGCGCATCTGTTCCACACTCCGGGATACCGTTAGGATAATCCTGCCTTTGGCCAGCCTTAGCTTTCTCAATCTCTCTGGGGTCCAGGTTACTGTTGTACAGGGATTTATGAAGCTCCTCTAAGTCTATTCCTCTGATCACATCCATAGGATCAATAGTGTTTCCCAGGGATTTCGACATCTTTCTCCCATGAGCGTCTCGTACCATGGCATGGAGAAACACTGTCTTAAATGGTAGTTTACCAAGAAGTTTCTGCCCGAAGAATACCATTCTTGCAACCCAGAAGAAAATAATATCATGTCCTGTCTCTAGCAAGGTACCAGGATAGAAAACGTCCAACTCGTCCGTCTTGTCCGGCCAACCAAGAACACTGAAAGGAAAAAGTCCGGAGGAGAACCATGTGTCAAGTACGTCCGGATCTTGGTTTAGTACAATCTCCGTCTCTGCAACTTTCAGAAGTTTCGCCGCCTTTGACCTCGCCTCCGTTTCCGTCCTACCGGAGACCCAGAGTTCCTCCTCCGGAGCTCGTCCTTTAACGGAGACCTGATAGGCCGGGACTCTGTGCCCCCACCAGAGCTGACGGGATATACACCAGTCCCTCATACCTTCCATCCAGTAGTTCCAGGTTTTCTTGTGAGCATCAGGAATAATCTTTAATTCTCCGCTCTCAACAGCTTCCATTGCTTTCTTGGCCATATCATCACACTTGACATACCTATCAAATAGCAAATAAAAAACAGATTAGATTTATCTGTGTCGGGGTTTTCTTTCATTTTTAACCCCCCCCCCTTCCCCCACGTAGAGATATTTCAACGGGATATCAAAACAATGAGTACTAGTATAACTACAATTTTGAAATGGTGTTTTCAAGCTTAAAGCTTAATTTCAAGTGACCCCCTTGCAAAAATGGTAATGCCTCATTTACCCTGAAACAGGTTTTCTGATCAAGTAAGGATTAATATATTATGCGTAGGAAGAAAGTGTAATAACAAATAGATATCCATGCTTTTGTTTCTTTCATTTGCGGCTTCTCTGCGAAGCAATGGAGATATGATCAGAATGAGTAAAAAAACGACGGTCACTATAAAATAAGCTTACAGTCCCTTTAAGGGGTAATTTGTGTTGCAAGCAATATAATAATCCTGTGACAGAATTATTAAAGAAAGTTTACCACTGTGGTTTGATGATAGGTTCCACAATATCCTTACTTCTACTGCAAACCGGGACCACCATAGGATTATCCTTAACAACATATTTACATACTTAACACGTACAACAACACCCCACCCCAGTCATGTTGACAAGTTTATGGTAAATAATAAGTTTTCAGAATAAGTACAAAATAAGAGGGTTAAGAGACCTTGCATATCGAACTGTGTCAATAAAAAAGCTTCGAAAGTCCCGTTTGTAATTTTTTTTAACAAATATAGAAATACACATTATACAATGTAGAGAAAGTTTTGGTTGACTGACCTTAGTTTCTCTGTAGAGACCAAGTTTACTAAGATCTTCTTGAACAGCCTTTCTTGCATCAAACCTTTTCATACCGCTAAACCTACCACAGCCCGGGGAAACCTCGCCCTCATCGGTAAATATTGTGATAAACTTCAGATCATTCCTTTTTCCGCACTCGTAATCATTAGGGTCGTGTGCAGGGGTGATTTTAACGGCGCCAGTACCGAAATCCCGCTCAACAAACGTATCAGCGATAATCGGAAGTTTCCGGTCGACGAAAGGATGGGTGACAAATTTGCCGTGTAGATGTTTGTATCGAGGATCCTCAGGATGAACTGCAACAGCAGTATCTCCAAGCATGGTTTCAAGACGGGTTGTAGCAACCACAATCTCTTCATCACTTCCCTCCACTTTATATGCAAAGGAAACGATAACTCCGAACTCAATTTTCTCCGAGTATCCAGGAACAGAGAGGGATGTACGTCCTGGCAACTCTACTTTATCAACTTCTATGTCAGAAATGGCAGATCGTAGTGAGCAAGACCAGTTTACAAGACGGTTAGAGCGGTAAATAGTTCCGTCCTCGTGCAATCGGACAAAAGCCTCCGTAACAGCTTTGCACATTTTAGGATCCATTGTAAAGCAGGCTCTGTCCCAGTCTACACTACTCCCTAGAGACCGGAGCTGGTTGTAGATGGCGCCACCATACTCCTCCTTCCACTCCCAAACCCGGCTAACGAACTTCTCCCGTCCCAGGTCGTGACGGCTCAACCCCTCCTCCCGGGCAATCTTCTTCTCTACGACGACCTGGGTCGCAATACCGGCGTGATCGCAACCAGGATTCCAGAGAGACATCTTCCCGCACTGTCGGTTGTATCTTGTAATGGCGTCTTCTACACTATTGGTCAGTGCATGTCCGAGATGAAGTTTCCCGGTCACATTGGGCGGAGGGATGACCATCATAAAGGTTCCTTCCTTTGGCACGTCTTTGATGCTTTTCCGACCGTATTCCGGTTTGAAGAATCCAGATTTCTCCCACCAGGAATACCAGGCAGTCTCAACATACTTAGGACTATAGGCATCAGGCAACGGGCACTAAAATATGTATTTATTTATTTATTTTTTATAAGAGTTGATTGCTTTAATACCTTGGTATCTTTCTTCTCTCCAGGTTTCGTCTTGCTCGTGTACTCCGCTGAAACCTTTTCCTCCTTCTTTGGTTTCTCTTTCTTCTCCGTCTTCTCTACCTTAGCTTCCTTTGTTTTCTGTTCCGCTTTGGCTTTAAACTTCTCAAGTTTTGCTGCCTTCTCCGCTGCCTTCTTTGCCTCCTTCTCCAGCTGTTTTGCGGATTTTACAGGTGGCACCGCGTCAGCACCCTCCGCCATTTTGTCTGAAAATAATAAATTATTCTGATTTTTGATTTTTTTTCTCCATCTTCTTCTTCTTGAATCCTTTAAATTTTCTGTCTCCATTTACAGGTTTAGATTTCTTTTTCAACAATTTCCCGGTTTTAGAAATGTTGGATTGAAGCGTCTCCACTGCATTGAGCTCCACCTGGTGGTTGAGCAGTCCTGCGGGCAGGCAACCGCTCTGAGTTGGATACCGGCCAGAGAACTCGGATACAACCAGAGGAGTTCTCAGCAGATATTGGAGTTCTCGCTTAGCTTCCTGTATCTTTTGTTTAGATACAGCCGCCTCCTGATCCTAAATTCAAAAACCAGAGTCAAACACAGTTATTTAAAAAAACATAAAATTCAAAATGATAATTCAATAATGTTTATCGGAGCTCAAAGCTTATGATTTGATTTGATTTGATGGTGATCCTACCTTCTCTCCGTCAGAATAATCATCGTCGCTGAGAATTAGATCAGCTTCTTCAGCTGCTTTCTGCATCCAGTTCTCTCCGACACTCTTCTTACGGGCCTTAACATAATCGGAGTAATAAGGAATTACTTGACGCAAACTAATGTTCTTATCATACATATACACTATACAGGTATTCAAACCTGAAAAGGGAGTTTATCTATCCTCCTGTATTCTAACCTGTAGGAGGAGTTTATCTAATCTCCTGTACTCTAACCTGTATGAGGAGTTTATCTAATCTCCTGTATTCTAACCTGTAGGAGGAGTTTATCTAATCTCCTGTATTCTAACCTGAAGGAGGAGTTCGTCTAATCTCCTGTATTCTAAACTGTAGGAGGAGTTAATCTAATCTCCTCTATTCTAACCTGTAGGAAGAGTTTGTCTAATCTAATGTATTCTAACCTGTAGGAGGAATTTATCTAATCTCCTATATTCTAACCTGTATGAGGAGTTTGTCTAACCTCCTGTATTCTAACCTGTAGGAGGAGTTTATCTAATCTCCTGTATTCAAACTTGTTGGGGGAGTTTATCTAATCTCCTGTATTCTAAACTGTAGGAGGAGTTTATCTAACCTCCTATATTCTAACCTGTATGAGGAGTTTGTCTAACCTCCTGTATTCTAACCTGTAGGAGGAGTTTATCTTATCTCCTGTATTCTAACCTGTAGGAGTTCGTCTAATCTCCTGTTTTCTAACCTGTAGGAGGAGTTTATCTAATCTCCTGTATTCTAACCTGTAGGAGGAGTTTATCTAATCTCCTGTATTCTAACCAGTAGGAGGAGTTTAACAAATCTTCTGTATTCTAACCTGTAGGAGGAGTTTGTCTAATCTCCTGTATTCTAACCAGTAGGAGGAGTTTGTCTAATCTGTTGTATTCTAACCTGTAGGAGGAGTTTATCTAATCTTCTGTATTCTAACCTGTAGGAGGAGTTTATCTAATTTCCTGTATTCTAACCTGTAGGAGGAGTTTATCTAATCTCCTGTATTCTAACCTGTAGGAGAAGTTTATCTAATCTTCTGTATTCTAACCTGTAGGAGTTTGTCTAATCTCCTGTATTCTAACCTGTGGGAGGAGTTTGTCTAATCTCCTGTATTCTAACCTGTAGGAGGAGTTTTCTAACATCCTGTATTCTAACCTGTAGGAGGAGTTTATCTAATCTCCTGTATTCTAACCTGTAGGAATAGTTTATCTAACCTCCTCTATTCTAACCTGTTTGAGGAGTTTATCTGATCTCCTGTATTCTAACCTGTAGGAGGAGTTTATCTAATCTCCTGTATTCTAACCTGTTGGAGGAGTTTGTCTAATCTCCTGTATTCTAACCTGTAGGAGGAGTTTATCTAATCTCCTGTATTCAAACCTGTAGGAAGAGTTTATTTAACTTCCTGTATTCTAACCTGCATGAGGAGTTTATCTAACCTCCTGTATTCTAACCTGTAGGAGGAGTTTATCTAATCTCCTGTGTTTTAACCTGTTGGAGGAGTTTGTCTAATCTCCTGTATTCTAACCTGTAGGAGGAGTTTATCTAATCTCCTGTATTCTAACCTGTAGAAGGAGTTTATCTAATCTCATGTATTCTAACCTGTAGGAGGAGTTTGTCTAATCTCCTGGCGGATTCCATCCTAGTCATAATATTCCCAAACCTGGCAGAATCAACAGGAAAACTTGGCAAATCCGTCTTTCTAAAGTAAAACTATTATTTTTATTAAGTTTTAAAATGTCCGCAAAAAGAAAAATAACTTTGTCAAAAATTAAGTTTATCTTTAACCATTATCTTGGTCGAGATCTGATTTAAATTAAAACTTGAGCAAAAAAAAATCTAGATTCATGAATTTTTTTTTCTCACCTAGTCAGAGTTACGCAAAGTTTCTTATATAGATAAAGCGCAGACGGATCTATGAGCAGGACGGATATTCCAGATTTACTAGCTCTAGCCGTCCTACCAGATCTATGGATGTAACCTTCAGAAGTCCGGGGAACCTGGAATTATCAAGCTTTAGTTCAGACTCTATGCCTAGGGTTTATTGTACTTCACTCCAGAGGTGATAAGTGGAAAAGGGTTTTTTTTTATTTTCATAATTATTTAATCAACCCCCTTTCGATAATTTTGCATCAGAAGCTACTTTATGAACCAAAATATTAACTCGGTGTGTGAAGGGCTAGAAAAAAACCGGGTTTTAAAAAAAACAGCACAGTGGGTTTTATTGGGTTCTATTGTTTTTTTGGGGGGGGCTTTTTTGGCCTTTTCAATTCGAAAGTAGTTCAAACCTATTAAAAATCATACGTATTCATAATAATAAAACTATTTAAGCAAAATGTGAACTGTATAGTTATGAAACATAATAATGTTGTGATATTATAGGCTATAATCATATATAAATACTCTTCAGCTATAATAATATCATAATAGCATAGGGAGAATACAGCAATTTTTTATATTAAAGTTGTATGAATTTCAGACAACTTTTCTCACTTGGATACATATTTCTAATTGGGGGTGATATATGCTTACGCAGGAAGACTTCAGCCGAAAAACTTCAGCTCTTTCAATCATATTTTTAAAATTCTTAAGAAAGCATATATGTGTAAGTTTTAGTGTTGTAAACTCCTAAAAGATCAATATAGTTGATAGAAAACTTTATGTTTATGAAGGGTTTGTCATTAAAGAGTGAAAAAAGGCAATAATTAGAAAAATTCTAAAAGAAACCCAAAATAGCCCACGTACAGGTGGATTTTTTAAGTGGGTTTATTGGTTTTATTGGGAGCTTTTGGGCATTTTTTCATGCCAACCCTTGGTTTGTCTCATAATTTTACAAACAAAGAAGAAAATGGAAACTTAATTACAGCTAACCTCTGTATTACGTCGTAGTGTACAACATGTTGTATATTAGGTATATCAAGACCTCTGTATTACCTGGTAGTGTACAACATGTTGTATATTAGGTATATCAAGACCTCTGTATTACCTGGTAGTGTACAACATGTTGTATATTAGGTATATCAAGACCTCTGTATTACCTGGTAGTGTACAACATGTTGTATATTAGGTATATCAAGACCTCTGTATTACCTGGTAGTGTACAACATGTTGTATATTAGGTATATCAAGACCTCTGTATTACCTGGTAGTGTACAACATGTTGTATATTAGGTATATCAAGACCTCTGTATTACCTGGTAGTGTACAACATGTTGTATATTAGGTATATCAAGACCTCTGTATTACCTGGTAGTGTACAACATGTTGTATATTAGGTATATCAAGACCTCTGTATTACCTGGTAGTGTACAACATGTTGTATATTAGGTATATCAAGACCTCTGTATTACCTGGTAGTGTACAACATGTTGTATATTAGGTATATCAAGACCTCTGTATTACCTGGTAGTGTACAACATGTTGTATATTAGGTATATCAAGACCTCTGTATTACCTGGTAGTGTACAACATGTTGTATATTAGGTATATCAAGACCTCTGTATTACCTGGTAGTGTACAACATGTTGTATATTAGGTATATCAAGACCTCTGTATTACCTGGTAGTGTACAACATGTTGTATATTAGGTATATCAAGACCTCTGTATTACCTGGTAGTGTACAACATGTTGTATATTAGGTATATCAAGACCTCTGTATTACCTGGTAGTGTACAACATGTTGTATATTAGGTATATCAAGACCTCTGTATTACCTGGTAGTGTACANAGGGGCGTGGCCGATATGCCTCGATCTGGCGAATCCCTAAGGTTCGTAGATCAACATTGAAAATCTGTTTCTTTGCCCCCTCCCCCCCTCATTGGTATCTCCTGATAGAAGTAAAACCCTTTAGACTACAATTCATAAGTGAAGAATAATTGTTTGCAGTCATTGCATGAATCATTCTAAACCTGAATTGTGAACCTATGATTAAATTCTTGAGAGTTAGTATTTATAAAAAGTGTTAATTTCAGGAAATGATAATAACCTTTTCTAAGGTTAGTAAATCCTGTAGACCTACCACCTGCAAAGGGTGGTAGATCACAGATATTGTTCCTCTTCAGTGATATTTCTGTCAAATCAAATCAAATCATGATATATCCTGTAGATCTGCCATCTGTAAAGGATGGTAGATTACAGATAAGTTTCTACCATTTCAAAGTGACAAATCAAATCAAATCATGAGTTTTAGAAAAAGCTTTAGGCTCCACTCTACAGCTTGGAGTTTCAAGTCCTGACTGAGAGGTGGGTTTTCAGCCAGTTCAAGAAACTTCAATGCAGCCTAGTCCAAAGGAAGATGTCTGTCAATCCAAGATGAGCTCATCAATGAAGGTGAAGCACTCCAGACTACTGATGGAGAGACAAGTGCTGATGAAGAAGAACCTGATCTAACTGAATATGATAGATCAAGGGGAGACATTCCAGCCCTGAATGTTATCATAGAGGATCTTCTAAAAAAGCAACCTAAGTTTTACAAGAAGTTATTCTCAAATGAGAAGATAATCATCAAGAAATGTTCTCAATTAGAGAGCAAAATTATTGATATTGATAAAAGCCAAAATTGTATCACCCACATAAATGAAGGATTTATTTGTAGTTTGTGATAGATTTTCAACCTGTCAAAGACCTAAGAGTTGCAGGAAAGTGATTCTTTATTATATCTGTTACAGATAAATATATGAGTTCTCAGGTTAGAGCCGGACGTTTTAAAGGTGTGGAGAATAGGGGCGTGGCCGATATGCCTCGATCTGGCAAATCCCTAAGGTTCGTAGATCAACAAAGTAAACACAAGTTCTTGAAAGAGACTGTGCAGTCGACTTAATTTCAATTTCCAGACTAGCATGTCTGATTCACACTGGAATCTGTAAAATAATAGAGTTGTCCCTGTATTACATATACAGACAGAAAATCCTTTATCTTCCCCATTGTTAATCCAATACGGTGTGAATTGGACGTTTAACTCTTTAAATTCAAGGTCCCTTTTCATACGGTGCTTAGGATCCGGATCCAAGGAGTAAAATATTAACCAAGCAAAAAAAACTTTTTACTCCTGAATCCCAAATCTGAACTTTTGAAAAAAAGAGACATTATAAAAATTTCCACATTTCTGAATGGTTCATCAAGTTTTAGGATTAAAATAAGCCAAAAAAATAAAACAAAAACTTTGAAAATTATTTGTTGTTAAAAGAATTCAGTAAATCTTCAAGAAATGACCTGGATACGGATCCATTTTTTCCAGTGCGGATCCAGGATCCGGATCCGCATCAAAACGGATCTTAAGCACTGCTTTAAAAGCAACGAAATTTCAAGATAAATTGAGATCTTGTACCAACCTTATGAGCTTTAATAAAGTAGTAAAGATATGCATCCTTCTCTTCTAATTCACAATGTATTACACTCTCAGTCAGACTTTCAGCTGTTCCAACCTAGAATACGGATTCAAGTACAAACTATTACTAAAAAGTTAACAGTTACTAGGACTTAGTTCTAAAACTTGATTATTGAACACTAGTTGAAGGGCCCGGCGTTGTCCGTGGAAAAAAAAAATTGACAAAAAAATGTTCGAACATTGTTTAGCCTATAACACCCCCCGGCCACCCATGAGTGTGTACAAAAAAATTCAGCCCAATCGGTCCAGCTGTTTGGCCGGCTATACGCAACCTTGATATGTGAATGTCTTGTTTTATTAAATAAATTACATCCCACTCAACATTCAACTATTCTCAAAATTTCCAAAGTTTCTTTTAATTTGTGATCAACAAATAATCATGAAAAGAGTTTAAGAACAGATTTATTGAATCTAACAATTAGAAAAATAATATTAGGAGGTGGTTGCAAAGAAATTACCCAATTTTAAATTTCGGGAGAAATGCTTAAACATCTGACCTTCCTTGTGATATCAACGATCTTACTCCGTTCACTGACTCCGGCAAACTCCATTAACTCTTTCAACTTTTCTTTAGAGGATTTCTGCTTTCTCTGTTTTCCTGTAAAAAAAACGATGAGCCATTGTCTCATGAGAAAATATATTTCGCGGATTACCTTTACTATACGCTGGAGGTTTATGAACCAGGGAGAGGGTTGCGGACATAACAAAGTTTTGTCTTGATCCTGTACTTTCAGCTTGTATCATCTCCAGCAGTTTCTGCAGCTCCTCAAAGTGCCCTTTCTCTCCCATACGATCCGTCTCATCGATTGCAAGATATCTAAGAAAAAGATAAACTATTAAAATCTTAAATTACTTATTTATTCAAGGTACAAAATCCTCATCAGTATTATGTCGATAAGTCATTACAACCGTCAGCCCCCTCCCAGTAATACTGAGAAGTTAGCCTCATGGTGTGGGGGGGGGGGTTAAGATAATACACTTCATGGTGCATTTGATCCCGGGTCAGAAGCATATACAACTGGAAATTGAATAGTATGGTTTACCTGATATCTGGTAGGTTGGATAGATGAGGAACTCCCTCCTGAACTAGGTCCCAGAGTCGACCTGGAGTAGCAACAACTATCTCGGGACGACGCTTTAGCAACCTTAAATGAACCCCGGTCAAGCTTTTTATTAATAATCCTGAACTGGGGACTTTAAAATGGAAATAACGAGATCAATCATTTCCTCCACACAGGGAGATTAATCGATTCAATGAGAGATCGATTAAATCATCCTGTTTGCAAATTCTTTAAATCTCAGAAGTTTGGAGCAAACCCCTGATAAATTCAGAAATCTGAGGCCGAATCTCTTGAATTTGAACTGCGTCGCTGGACCGCCAATCACCGGTTCCATGTTGTGCCCTGGCTCAAATCTCGTAACACTGATTATAATTTCAAGTTGAAAAAACACGGTTTATGTTTGAACCGTTATAATTCTTTAAATTCGGCCTCAAAACATTTTTTATATCAACATGTACTATAAGTTCAAATTGAACCTTTAAATTCTATGTATAAAGATAATAGCTATGTTGGCTGGGTTCCCTGAGTTGTTTATCTTGACTAATCCCTCCAACAAGAACCATCACAGAGATATCAGTATACGTGATAATAGCCTAAACATACAACAATATCATAATTCATCCATCTTAAATGTTATAATTATAATAATTAACTATCAAGGTTTCGACATTCAGATTTTATTATGATCAGAAGTTTTGTTCTCAGGTATTGGTTAAAAATGTGATGTGTTTCAGTTTTTTTTGCGAGAAAATATTGTATTTATCATAAAAATAAGAAATTTTGCCGCACCTGAATATGATTCTTTATTTGCATTGCAAGTTCACGGGTCGGAGTCAGGATTAAAGCTCGTAGTTTATCTCCACGCTTCTTCCCAACCAGCAGTTCTTTAAGATCGTTTTCCTCATATTCTACCTCATGATCTTCATCATTCTCATCTTCCGTCATCTTCTCCTCCTCCTTCTCCTTCCTCTCCATATCTTTAATCCGGTCATTCAAAATACCCTAAATTTAAAGTATTTCTAAATCAATAGTTTATAGTATTAGAGATGGAAAAATGAGATTTAGAAGAAGTTTTGCAAGAAATCATTGGTGTCGAATGTGTCACAGTTTTAATCCGTTTTTATTGCAAAGATCAGTAAATAGAAAGAAACGAAAGTTACAGAAAACTCCACTAATTTCACCGCAAACTTGAGCACTGTAGTTTAGATTTCTCAAATTTATAAATATTATGTGATTGTCTGTGAACTGAAAATAAAAATTTCACTAGTTACGTAAATACAGCTCCACTGAAAAAGCGACCTGGTGTTTCGTATTCTACAATGCCACTTAATTGTAGTTGACTATGTTTTGGTCCTAAGTCTGTAATTATGTTGAAGAGTTCAAAGAAAAATTAAGATTTTTACCTGAACTATTGGGATTCCAAACGCTAAGGTTTTCCCTGATCCTGTTTCAGCCGCTCCAACAATATCCATTCGTCCTGCAACATAACCTGTTAATCTGAAACCTAGGATATTATTGTCCGAACCCGACCCAGAGATATAGATCTCGGATAAAAAAACGTAATAAAGGAAATTTTTTAAAATTTAACTTACTTATCAGACAGACGTTTCATTGATACGGCATTTCGCAGAAAGATTTAGACAAATAACAAACATAAAATGTTAAATCAGTAGGAAGAAGGAAGGGTGCGATAATCCAGTCACAAACAATAAAATCATTATGAATTTCAAACTAAATCATTTTTGTAATAGATGTCAAACCTTTAAGTGCTGCTGGAAGAGTAAGTTTCTGAATAGGAGTTGGTGAACCAAACCCCTTCTCCTCCAGAGCTGTAATTATTTCTTCACAAACAAACACTTCTCTCCATTCGTTCATATCTAGTGGTTTACCAGAACCAGGAGCAGGGGTAGTGTCCTCCTTTCCTTTCTCTTTAATCATTTTCTTCTCTTTCCCTTTTTCCTTCGTTTTAATTTTTGGAATATCGGGTTTGGGAGATTTAGAATTTGCAGTCGGATTGGTGGAATCGGATTGGGATTTCTCTTCAAGTCTTCTTGTGAGAGCCTCTAGGTTAATAACCGGTTTGTTTGCGGATTTTTTCTTGGTTTTCTTTTTCTTTTTAATCTCGGGTTTTGCAACTTTAATTAAACTTCCTTCATCTTGTTTTAATACCAGAGGAACTTTCTTCTTCTTTTTCTTAGGAACGTTTTCTTTCAAAACTGAATCCTCAACTTTCTTGGAACCCGGTTCTAAATCAATTTCAACAAAATTGAACTTTTTCTTCTTCGCGGATTCCTTAATGTCGTTTTCAATCTTTCGCTTGTTCAGAGGTTTTGTTCCTGGCTTGACTGACGGAACCACTTCACTCTGTATTGAGTAATCATCTAGGATCTCTATTCCTCCGCACATAGCGGAGTCAATACCTCCAGTAAATATGGATTGAGGGAGAGGTATAGATTTCCATCCTCCTTTTGCCTTCACCTTCATTTCTATCTGAAATAAATATTCGCATAATTGTCCTCAACGATGGTTTTCTAAAGACAGTTATCTAGATTCTATGTAGTCTTAGTAATTGATGTTTCACCTTAATTTAAATTCTTTATCACAAAAATACTATTTCTCATTATTTTTACAGTTTTGAAACAGGAAAACTAAAATTCTTATGTAAGAATTTATATTTCATTAAATTTTCTTGAAAGAATAAAGAAAGTTGTCTCTACACCCTACAATGAATGAATCTGAAAGGAATATTGGAGAGGAGAAAACGTTTCCTGGAACCTTCTCCCGTATTAAAATCCTTCCAGAACTATTCAGGACTAAGATACTTCCGTCCGTAGTTGCACACAGTATCCGTCCATTCGGATCAAAATCAATACTGGAGAAGACGGGATTAGACAGGTCGGTTCTCCAGTTTATCTCTCCACCGGGAGTAATGTTGTAAACATATCCGTCATTAGAGCCAAGAAGGAGATTAGATTTGTAAAGAATCGGAGAGGAAAAAATGGGAGAACCTGTTTCTACTTTCCAAACTATGCTTCCTGATTCTGACACTGAAATGAATTAATAATAATATTAACAAGTAAGGGAGAACATACATACATAAGAACGGTTCCAGAAGGAGAAGATAATGCCATTGTTTTTTTGCTCGGCATATTTGTAAAGGAACTGAGTTCGAATTTAAAGGGAGTGTTCGCGAAAAATGAAAGGGGGTATAAGCTTAATGCGATAAAAAAGCGCTTTTGATCTCTACTAATCTTACTTCTATCTGTTGCGTCTATAAGGAGAANGTTAAACATAAATAAATCAGGTCCTTTCTAAATCAAGATTTTCTCAAACTTTTAAACTAAATAGAAAATCAAGGAACAAATAAATTTATTTAAAGGGACTGTAAGCGTAATTTCAAGTGTCCCTCCATGCAGAAATTTCAATTCCTGATTTACAACGGTACCCTTGAAACCTTCATCTGAATTAAAATTGTTGAAGATAATGTCGTTTTGCTGCCTCGAAAATTGTTCAATTCAGATAATTTCTTCATTGCTTCTTACAAGCAACTGCAAATGAAAATAAACAGTTAAAAGAAACAATCGTGCGCATGAATATCTATTTCATACCTGACCAGACTAATCGGGCATTGCCATCTTTGCATGGAGGGTCACTTGAAGTTACGCGAACAGTCCCTTGAATTGTTATTTAATCTTTCTTTAAATATATAAATACTGAAACTACCTGCGTAAATAAATTTATCAACACTAGCAACGTAGAGCTGGTTCCCGTCCCATAGTGGAGTAGAGAATACAGGGTGTCCTAGGTTCAAACTCCACAGGGTGTCTCCGGAGAAGGATATTAGAGCTATTTCTCCGTCCAGGGTTGCCAGGACGAATCCATTACTCATATTTATAGGGCTTGAGTAAATACTCCCATCACTGATAATTCAATTAATTAATCAATAATATCGAAGTATTAATCAACTTAAACCATCTTGAAAATCAACGAAATTTTTTTAGAATTAAAAAAATCAATCAACAATAACGGTAGAAAGTGCAGTGTTTCGGATCCGTATCATTTTGATGCGGATCCGGATCCGCGGATTCGCATCCGTGATGATGGATCCGGATCCTGACTCTGATACGGATCCGGATCCGGATCCGAGGTAACTTTTGATTCTGTGAATCGGATTTTCCCTATTAAATGTTATGCAAGGTTATAATTTATAAACTATATTTATTATATATTCCGAAATGTAACAAAAAAATATAGACTTTTTGGAGTAATCCTTTGGACAGGCCGATCAATCACTTCTTGAAGAGATAGTCGCTGTTAGCCTTGAGCAGGAGAAGGGCGTCCAAATTTTCGTCATGTAAATAATACATTTACGAACCATTTTGATTTATTTATTCCATGGTTTTGGTTAATTTTTGGCGCTACCCGGATCCATATCAACGTTTCCTGATACGGATCCGGATCCGCCAAATGATACGGATCCGACCGGATCCGGATCCGAAACACTGGTAGAAACAATATTTTAAAATAGAAAATTTTAAACATCGATTCAACCATTATTAAGGTCAATAGATTGAAACGAAGTATAAAAATCTGATTTATCAAAATATCAATTAATTTTATTAAATTCCTAGGTTTGATTTTCCAAATTAACTCTCCATTAGTATTTAGCTTGTAATAGAGTTTATCATAACTTCCAAAATATATAAATCCATTGTGGATCAACGGGGTACACTTCACTATTCCCTGAATAGAAAAATAGAAAATTCAAAAAAAACTTTAAAAGATTAAAATTATCTTCGTTTTTAGACAATGATTTTGTTTTAAATGATCGAACACACGTTTATTCTTTTGTTTAAACTTGTCTGTTAATTCGTATTTTTTCACGAAATTGTTTTATTTTATATTTTGTTTGTCTGAGAAAAAAGATTTAACGCTCAAAATATTTTTGATTATTTTTTTTGGTTTATTTTAAACGAAGTTGCAATAAAATATAATCAATTTTAAAGAAGTTCAAGTTAAATATGTAACTATCGTTACCCTTAAACAATAACACATTAATAAATAAATAACTCATTAATGAACAATTATGAAAATATGAAAATCTTAAAAAAATAAGATATATAAACTACCTGGGTTTTAAATCTCCATTGCACTTCTCCAGTTGATAAACTGAGAGAGTAAACATGGTTGTCATAACATCCAATATAAATAGAAGAAAACTCAGTCGACGGGCTTCCCTCAACTCGGTCGCTTAATCTAGAAATAGAAATTATTTCAGTCGATAAATTGCTTAACCTTGAAAATTAGATTTGTAATTCTTCTTTACCACACCAAACTAGAGTAAATTGCACTTAAGCTTGTCTCGTGATAAATGGGAATTTCAGAACCAATTTAAGGTTTTACTTTTTCATACTTGTAAATGTAAATTTCACCGTCCCTGATAGTAACTGTTTGTAAAAACCGGTTTTTTGTTTTGGTAAACAAGGCGTACTGCAAAGTTCAAAATATACTCTTGTATCATAAATTTATCATTGATATGCGCACCCAACTGACTGTAGGAGTCTGTATGGAAACCTTTATGTAAACCTTTATGTAAACCTTTTAGATTTGATAATTTTCGTATTCATTTTTATAATAACTTAAAAATTGTATATTTGCTTGTATAAAAATAAGTATTTTTAGTTTAAAAATTTGTCCCAAAGAAATAAATACTGCTACTCATCAACCATTCTTTTACTACGTGACTGTGAATCTGAAGTAAACTATTCTTGATTTTGGGATTTGTCCGATATTCACTCAACAAAGATTGAATTTTTGCACGTTATTTAAGAGATATTGAGAAGAAAACTTTTTTTTAAATGTAACCGGATAAAATATCTGTTATCGTAATATCAAAAATAAAGGAGCTACAAGGTCACAAAGTTGTACCAGCAATGTCACATAACTTTACTCTTTAAGTTTTATTAAAAAAGAAATAAAAATTATACCTTGTGGCCCACACAACTTCTCCGTCCTCCACCTCTATACATTTGACCCACCCTGAGTGAGATCCAACCACGACCCTGTTCTTCTCCCCAACCCGGAGTAGAAGAGGAGAACTGTCGATACACTTCTCAAAATCTACTTTCCAGTCTTGTCTAAACCCAATAGGTGAGGAGCTTGAATCTGCAAAACTCCGGGAACAGCTCTCTCGACCTTTCAATCGGAATACACCTTTAATCTTGAATTCCCAGATATCTTGTACATCCAATTTGACTTTTTTCAATGCCCTTGGCTCACACTGTTGATTTGAATCATCTGAAATCCTATCTTTGATAACGATGGAGTTCTTCCTGGATTGGGCCTGTGCAATAGTCTCACATAGAGCTCCGAACTGCGCACTAAGAATATCTTGTAGGAAAGTTGGATGAAGACCAGGTATCCGCTCCACCATGATATTATAAACTAGAACTGCCAGGAAGGAATCTCCTCCACATAAGATAAAGTTATCCATCGAACCCGGAGATATTTTCAAAAGTTTGAGCCAAAGATCGGAGAACCATGAAACCAAATCCCCTGAGATATTTCGCGAAACCGCTGGAGTTTTAAACAATATTTTTCGATTGATTTTACCGTGATTGTTAACTGGGAACTCGTTCAAGAAAACAATATTTTGTGGGATTTGCCAGCTTTCTAACTGTTCACGGCATCGCTCTAAAATCCTGGAACAAAAATTCAAGATAATGTTGTGATTGTTTAAGGTGAGGGGACTATTACCTTTCTACTTGAGACCACTTCTCCGTGTATATAAGAAAGGCTGAGATACTTTCTCCGTTCTCTGAAACTGCACAGAGGATTTGAGTTTCCAAAACCTTGCTCAAGGTCTCCTCCATCCTCTCCAGACTAATCTTACGTCCGTGTATCTTGATAATATTATCGCTCCGTCCGACCCAGATCAGTTCGTCTCCACGCCATTCACCCATATCGCCGGTTTCTATATAACTAACGTCAAATTTTGCATGAATTCAAATGATTTTTGAATTAAATGTAATATCGACCTTTATCTATAAGTTGCAATTTTATTTTTTTATTTTTTTAGTCCATTAATAAACATTTGACATTCCTTAAAGAAATTCCATCTTTGTATCGACAAATCCTAAAATAAAACAAAATTATTACCGTAATGGTTTTAAATATTAAAATATTTTTTACCTTGTTTTGCTATAAATAATTATTGCATTCTCTTCACATTGTATCTCAGTTTGTGTGATAAGATTTCTATCCTTAATATAAACAGGCATTGTCTCAATTTCCTTGGGTTCAAGTTTAACCATGCTCTGCCACACCGACATCTCAGTAAGTCCGTACAGCTGATAAACAGCTGTTCCTTCCAAACACAATCTTTGGAGGATTTCTCGAACCTGGGAGGAACATTTTTCTCCGCCAACAGCTAGGATCCTTAGAGAAGTTTTTTCCACGGTCGGTTTCACGATCATAGAAGGGGAACTGTTAGTATTGATAAGAGATGTTTGAGGTCTACATATGTTTTGTAGTAAGCTAGGTGTGCACTGGATCACACTAACTCTATTCTCAATAAGGAGGGTTGAGTACAGGTCTTGTTTGATCTTCTCAGTGGTTGTAACAACCAGGAGCTGAGCTCCGGAAACCAGACTGAGAAATATATCAATGATACTCGGATCAAACGTGAGCGGAGATGAGAGAAACACAACATCGGTTTTTTTGAGCTGAAATGCGGCGTTGAAGTCTTGAATGTTAGGAAGGATAGACGAGTTTGTTACAAGGATAGGTTTCGGTTCTCCAGTAGTGCCTGAGGTCTGGATGATATAAGCTACATCACCAGTATCCGTTCTGTCTTCAATATCATTCAACTGAGTTAGGAATACCCAAACATCAGATCTAAATGTTAATAGTTTTGAGGGTTTACAACTGACTATAAATATTTTTGACGAGAGTTACTGATCCACACAATTAAGAGGACTAAAACTTCAAAATTAATCCTGTAAAATCTAAAATAACGATTGGGAAAAAGGATTCTGAAAAATTACCATTCTTGATTTATAAAAATCCGGTAATAAGTTCACCTTATTAGCTGACTCTCCGTAGCTAGTTCCCGTCCTGATAATACAACCCGGCATCTGATCTTCTCCAGTTCCTCCCGGTACCTTTCTCCATCCCGGATACTGTAGAATGGTACACCCAACCTTAAATAATACATGATGAAAATTAAATGAACTGATTGTTCACAAGTAAAAATTTCCAAAACAAAGAATTATCGGGAGAGGATATAAAGCTTATTGAAAAACCATGAAAACTAAGAAGAAGAAAAAACAATGGACCCGGGAATTATAAGAATTCACTTAATAAATCTGAAGTAAAACAAGGTTGGATTAAGTTAGGGAAGAAAATTAACTAAAATAAAATAAGGATTGCGTTGCTCACCTGATGGCAGCAATGAGAGAAGGGAAGTATCCAAGAACCTCAGACGTATCCTCGTTAAACATAAATCCTAGAACTCCTATTCTATCCAACCCTTCCAGGGACTTCACTATTTCATCAGATATTTCCAAAACCTGGCCAAAAGTTAAAATTTGGTGAATTTTCGATTTTTTCTCACTAAACCGGATCCATGTTTTATCCAGATTGCTGGAGAAAGAATGCTTGACGAGGGACCATAAATCCATTTTTATCTGAAATATGTTGTAGAAAGTCGAGCGTTTATATCAGTTAAGAATTATAAAAGTATTACGCCGAATATCCATAGGGCCCCCGAGATAAGAAACCTATGTTCTTGTCCCGGGGGCCCTTAACAAGTTTATTCCTCTACCCTTGGATTGAACCCCTTCCTGACGAAACATTGATCAAACTTGAGAAATCCGCGAAAACAGAAAATCTAGAAATCTGCGGCACCCCAGTTGGGAGCATCTTGGGCCTTCTTTTTCTTCTCAATGTTCATCTGGAGCATCTGGGATCTGAATGAGAGCGCCTTGGTCTTTTCGATTAACTGCTGGTAGGGAGAGTTTGTGTCGATCCCCATCACAACCGTTCCCTGCTTAGAGTCGATCTTGGCATCAAGCTTTGCGTTCCTATAAAAAAAAAGGATTATTATTGGTTAGAGGTGACAAAATATTTATATTTTTCATTTATTGTAAAAATATTTCTTAACAATAATGAATGAACTCATCTCTACATGACTAAATAAACTTATCAATTAATTCACTAACTAATCGACTATTTTATCAACTAATTATTAATTGATTAATCAACTAATAAACCAACTAATCAACTAATTAAACAACTGCTTATCAAACTGCTTAATCAAATAATTAATCAACTGCTAAATCAAATAATTAATCAACTAATTAATCAAATAATAAATCAATAATTTTCAACGAATTAATCAACGAATTAATCAACGAATTAATCAACGAATTAATCAACGAATATATCAACGAATTAATCAACGAATTAATCAACTAATTAATCACCTAATTGATCAACTAATTGATCAACTGATTGATCAACTGATTAATCAACTAACTAATAAACTAATTAATCAAGTAATCGACTAATTTATAGATTTATCAATTATTTTATCAATTAATTCACCAATTAGTCAACTAATTATTCAACCAATCAATTAAATAATAAATCTGCTAATATTAGGAGGGTACATGGTAAACCTGCCCTCCAAGGTAAAGCATTTATTATTATAAATGATCGACTCTCTCCGCCAAATTTACCTGATAAGGTTCACAATCCACTTCTCCGCCTCCTCAGGGCTCATGCTCAGCTTGTCCGCCAACATACTGAAAACAATGATGTGTAAGATAAAATAGGAGAAACTATCTGTATGCCCCTCCCCCCTTCCAATTTTGGAGAACTTGGACTGCCAACAGGTATATGATAGAATCCAAGAGTATTCTATATAGGTATATGAGAGAATTCCAATCCTCCCAGGCGCTGGAGATTTCAGGGGAATAGTTTAATACTGTTTAATAATTATTATTAACCTAATGCTGATGCACTGATGGATCCTGCAGAAGGTCTCGAAGATCATCATCCTCGAGTTCTCGATGAAGTCGTCCAGGCAGGCCACCAGGAAGAAATCATTCATCAGAACCGTCTCACAGTCCCTCAGCTTACGCTGGGCTCCGTCGAAATCAAAGTTGACGTACAGATCCTCGATGAAGGATGTGATGGGGTCCTGGTAGGTGTAGGACTCCTCCTGGATCACCTTGATCAAATCCTTCATCACATTCCTCCTAAAATTTAAGACGCATTTTAAATTAAAAATTAACCGTCAACTGAAGAAGATAAAACATTTCACTGTTTTAGACAAGAGCATGTCAGATATCATGTTTATATCTGACAATAAAATATTATATCCAACGTGGTGAAATTATAAATTAATAATATAATTAATATGAAAATTTTAAAAAAGTTGTCTCAAACCTTGAGGATTTGTTTGTGATGACAGCAGTTGATAGATATCTGAGCATCCAGGGACAAGTGGTCTGGATAGCGTTCAGATACTGCTTCTGGTACAAGAACAGGTCAATAATCAGCTCCCTGCCCTTAGGGTGGTTGAAGAAGACGAAGAGAGACCAGTGGATGAGCCAGGTTCTCTGCTGCAGGGTCTGCAGGGCGGAACCGAACACGCTCTCGTCGATAAACTGTCGGAGACGGTTGAAATCCTCAAGGGCAGTGTCCCAGTTCTGCATGAGGATCTCAGAGGCAAGCTTACCCCACATACCGTTGAGATAGTTCACGTCGGTGGACTGGACGAGAATACGATGGAAATACAAGTATTCACTTGCTCCGGAGTAATTTCCGCACTCATACTGAACCTATAATTGAATACGACAATGATTATTTATCCTGTATTATTAAAATGTCAAAACCCAGATCTCAGAACTATTAAAAAGTTACTAATCTAAATTTACTATAACATAGAGAGTATGAGAAGCATTTTGTAAATATTTGTATATTTTATTACACATTCTCCATACATAGGCTTATATCTAATATATTTTTTTTTCAATAAAAGTTTGTAAGAGATAATTATTTAATAAATATGTATCGAAAATGCTAAAACGCCAAATCCTTCCGATTCAACGATGTTTTGGGATAGTTTAATATTGGTTGGTTTGAAAACGCTAACAGGCTTACTTTTATTTATAAAGAATTATAACGATGAATGGCGGTCATTCATATTTTTTCACCTTAGCAAACTTGTAGAGAGTATCAATAGTCTCCAGTTTGAAGTTGTATCCCTTGACTAGAAAATCAAGAAGCTGTTTCGAGTCTCGAGACTGCTGAATCTGGCGAGTAACCTCAGGATCCTCGAATATCTTGAGGATGGGTTCGGTTTCACTCTGCAGCTTCTTAAAGTTCTCCACGACCTGGAGTCTCTTGTCCTTGAGCGAGGCTGGAACCTCCTTGTCGGGATACAGGCTCTTGTGGACGTCAGTGGCAAAGTCCACCATACTAGTGTTGGTAAGTAAGTCAAGCTTTCCACGGAGCAAATCAGTCTCATCGTAAAATCCCTAAATATAATAATAATAAAAAGGGTTGAAACAAGATTTTTACTGTATCGCAATTTTTAATTTTTAAGATGAAAAGTCGGCAAAAAAAAAAAAATTCTGAAGAAAGATATCCGCAAGCAATTGTAACAAAGAAACCAAAATAGCCCAATTTTCAAAGATAAATTACGGTTTTCTAATTCCTTCTTGATCAGACAATGATTTAAAAGGTACCGTTGAGAATTGGACAAGCAACGGGTATATTCCTAGAGAACGATTTTTGGACCCCCCCCCTCCCTCCCTATCAATTTTGTACATGGATCTTACAGAAAGTGTCTTAACTTAACCTAACCTGCTCGGCCCCCTAGCCCATCCTAGCCGCAGCGCTCGGCCCAGAAAGTGTCTTAACCTAACCCTCAAAAATAAAAAAATAAATGTACAAAATTGATAGGAGGGGGGGGGGGGGCCAAAAATCGTTCACTAGGACAGACCCAAGCAACGTTTATCTCGCATTGAAAGTTTTGATTAAGATAATTCCTACGCTGTTCGTAGTTGCAGTAACTGTGTGAATAGGTTTCTCTGATGATATGTAACAATGTTGGAACTCGGAGAATAATATCATGATTTACAAACTGTGGGGTGGAGAGCATTTATAGATGTTAAAACACAGGATAATAAAGAAGGAAAACGGGTGATTTCCTAGTGTACGGTTTTTGAACCCNTTTATGAATCTTAATAGTAAGACATGGATGAAATTGACCAAGTTGACGCAGCGCCCGGTCCTCTGGCATATCCTAACCGCGGCGCTTGGTCCAGAGGGGGGAGAGCGGGGGGGGGGTTAAAAAAACGTAACCTGAGACGGACCTGGATAACGTTAGCCCCGTAAATACACAAGAAAGGATTCAAGATTAACAAATTGACTTGTCTACAACATCTACAAAACTCACTTTCACAGTTAAGAACTCTAGAAGAGGGAAGACCAGATGCCGGTCAAGGTAAGGACCAATCTTAGAGGTTAAATCCCACTTCGCCATTTTTATCACTTCTACAGATACTTCTGAAAAATAAAAAAAAATAGTAGAGATATGTTAGAAATTTACATAATACAATAAAGCATTTTAGGGGTTGGGGGAATAAATGAATTGGTCTTTGGACACTTTTTCATTTCTGAATTCTGACGCAAGCCTTTTGAGCGTACACATGGCATGAAAGGAAAATTATTTGGTTTGGAGAAAAAATTTCAATAATTTCGTTTCGTGTTTCTAATGTCTATAAGTAAAAATTTTGAATCAGTAAGGTAAAATTTTGCTTTTAGTAAATTCTATAATCGACAATTTTCCTCTATATTTCTGTGAATAAATGTTAATGTAAAAAAATAAATAGTTTTCAATCGTCTTCGTTCTGCTTGAATGCCGCGTACATGTAAAAAAACTTTGAAATCCATGCAGTGAAAGAAAACAACAGTCAACACTAAATTTCACTTGTGAATTGTAAATGACTTTTAAAGCTTTTCAGGCCTGATTCGGGTATATTCCTAGAGAACGATTTTTGGAATGCTTTTTTGGGGTGATTACTATTTGAGGTGGTGGAGATTACCAATTGAGGAGCGCGCTTGCCGCAAAACAGATTTGGGTGGCTGTGATTACTATTTGAGAAACTCTGGACTCCCCCCCTCGTCCTAGCCGCAGCGCTCGGCCCAGAAAGTGTCTTAACTAACCTAACCCCTGGCCGCAGCGCTCGGCCCCCTAGCCCATCCTAGACGCAACGCTCGGCCCTGAAAGTGTCTTAACCTAACCTTACCATAAATAATGCTAAATTTAAACTAATTTGGTCATGTAAAAAATTAATAGGAGGGGGGGTGGGTCCAAAAATCGTTCACTAGGACAGACCCCAGATTCGATGATATCATGGTTTTAATTGTGCCCTGAACCCCCCCCCCCTTCCTATCAGTTTTGTACATGGACATATTTGGTCATGTGGCCGCAGCGCCCGGCCCCCCAGCCGCGGCGCTCGGCCCCCTTCCCTGTCCTAGCCCCAGCGTTCGGCCCACGAACCTGTTAGCTGCAGCGCTCGGTCCTGAAATTGACTTAACCTTACCTAACCCCGAAATAATTGAGAATAATTTTGCTAAAAACTTGTTATGTACAAAATTGACAGGAGGGGCCGGGAGAGGGGGACTCCAGTCATTTGTATGCAAAATTAATGTCTTAATTTGTATACTTTTTGCGTTCCATTTAAATGCTCAGTTGATGAAACTTATTTTATCTTAAAAGTAACGACATGAAACCATTACTTCTCAGAAAAATCATGGAAGCTAATTGAAGACAATTGTCAATGTTTCTTTTTAAGTTTATTGTCTGAAGTTGTAAACTATCTTAGTACTTACATGATAGGCCCTGTTTTGTAACACTGATTGACAAAATATTATCTCATTGATATGCCTTGATTTTCTGGCAACTCAATTTTATTCAATTATCTTGATTGATGAATATTTCAGATGGTCGAGGAAAATGTTAAAGTTAAAAGGAATAAAAATCCTCCGGATTTGACAATCCAAGATGTAGGGGGACGAGATTTCTTAACCAAACCAGTCCTTCTCACAAAAGATGGCAATTTTATCATCTCATGTCAGGACTTCAAGATTTATATTTTCAGTTCTCAGACTGGACTTCCTGTCAAATCCATCAACACTAATAAGATCCTGAGTATTGCATTGTCTGAGAGACCCGGAGAAGTGGTAGTGGCTGGCTTGAGATCAGTCACGGTTTGGAACTATGAAGAAACGAAGGTGGTCGAGAAATTTAAATATAGACTTGGAGGTCGAGTTTCCTGGAGTGACCTCCTGACAGTATTCCTTCCGAACAATTTCACCACTTCCGGAGACGTTTATCTTACATTTCTTAACAAGACTCAGAATAACTTTGTCCGTGTAAATGTCCGGGAGAAGAACTCTAATGTAATATTTAAGAATGTGACTATTGATTCCCAGCATATCGGAGACAATGATAATTCTATCGTATCTCTCTCAAATCACAAGGTTCCCGCCATGAAGAACACGTCATTTGTCTGCTACGACAGGAATATTGCAAAAGTTCAATGTTTTCAGGCGGATTCTGAGAGACCGCTTACCATTGTTCGATGTCATCCGTCGGAAAAGACGATTGCTGTTGGAGACACTTCCGGTCGAATTTTGATATTTGCCGGAATTGATACAAGTGATGAGTTGAAGCCGGCTAAAAGTATCTTGCATTGGCATTCTTTGCCGGTCACTGGTCTTTCCTGGTCATTAGAGGGCGGGCATCTATTCAGTGGAGGAGGGGAGAGGGTTCTCTGCAAGTGGTTTCCGGAAGCTCACTCCAAACCAACCTTCCTCCCTAGACTTGGCTCGGATATTATGGGTATAGTTGTCTCCGAGAGTAATACAGCACTCAAGCTTCAGAACAACTCTGTCCTGATTCTGGATCGTCAGGACAAACCGAGTGGAGAGTTAGCAGGATTATGTAAAAATAGCTCCGGGTGGCCTGCAGGACTGTCCTGGGATAATAGAGCAAAAACTCTTCTCCTCAACGGCAATGTAGGACATGTTCAAGTTTTCAATCCACTCTCCAAGGACACGTACACCATAGATATCACGCGGCAGAACTATCTGACCAAGGAGAGAGAGAAGAGCCCGTTTAATGCTGAGGTGAACCAGCTCTCCGTCTCCTCCTGCGGGATGTATCTGTGTACGGTGGACTGTTGCTGGACTCCAGTTGAGAGGGTGAACCTCAGATTCTTTCATTTTGATCCGTCTTGTCAGAAGTTTACTCTCAATACCATAGTTGATACTCCGCACAAACATGGATTAAATGCTCTGAAGTTCCAGGAGAACAGAACTAGCTCCGCCCCACTCCTCCTCTCCTGCGGGAATGATAAGAGTGCGAAGATCTGGTTTCTCGACTCCTCCTGGTCCTGTAAACACTCCATTGATTACCGTAGGTTGAATTGTCTGGGTGGAGCATGGTCTGCAGATGGTAGCGTTATAGCTCTTGCATTCGAGCATATCTTGACTGTTTGGGACAGAGAGTTCAGGTTGAGAACAACCTTGTTAAATGAGAAGAGGGAGCATGTGACTCGCCTGGAGTTCGGGAAAGAAACCAACTACTCCCCCTTTCTCTTCACAGCAACCGACAGCACGGTCTCCATCTGGAATCTGATGAGTTTAGAGTGTACTTTCACTATACAAATGACCGGATGCTTGAATGTACTCTGTGACCCTGTGAGTGGACTGCTTGCGTTAATCACTAAGGATAAGATAAGCCTAGTGGACCCTGTCATGAACGTTGTAAAGCAAGAGTTTGTCGGTGTAAACGCTACGGGAGGCGCAGTCTATGTCACATCGAACAGCAAGAGCATGTTGTACTTCATAACCTACAATGGACTTATCAGATCTATCGGGTCCAAGATCAAGAACGCCGGGTTTAAAAATATGAAGATCTTCGAGAAGCCGAAGAACCCATTGTTTCTGACCAAAGCAAATAGCGTAACTCCAATGGAGATAACGGCCGAGGTTCCAGGTTCTGCAGCACATGATATTGAAACAATTTTGTCCGTTCCTTTGCATGCCATCCCGTCAAACTCTGCACTCGTTCATTCTTTCTTGGCAAATCGTCTCCTTGCTCTCCCTAAATCCCAGGTTGTAACCAATCTTGCTCCAGGAGAAGATAAACAAGAAGAAACCTCAAAACAGATGAAAAAGATCAAGCAAGTTTTCACAAGAGAAATAAAGTCGTCGGAGCTCGACTTAAATTCATTTTGTAAACTTTTAAAAGAGAAAAAATCGAAATAAAATTATTTTTTTGTAACTCTTGATTTTTAAGTAGATGGATTGACGGTGTAGTAGGAGCAGGGATATAGGGTGAACTAAAAGAAGGGTTTAAGGTGGACTGGGAGTAGGGTTTAGGATGGACTAGGAGATGGGGTTGTAAGTAGATTAGGAGAATGGTTTTGGGTTGCCTAGAAGGTGGATTAGGAGAAGGGTTGAGTATGAGAATGTAGAAGAAGGGATGAGGACGGACTTGGATAAGGGTTGAGAGGGGACTAGGAGAAGGGTTAAGGGTGGACTAGCAGAAGGGATGAGGATGAGAATGGGAGAAGGTTAAGGATGAAGTAGGACACGGGTTGAGGGTAGACTAGGAGAAGGTTGAGGTACTACGGTAGTTCTTTAGACGCTGAAGATGAAGATTTATACGAAAATGAAGGCCCCGGGAAGACTTCGAAAAAAAATCGAACCATTTAATCGAAAGTTTTGATAATTTTTTTTACTTATTCTTATGTATCATATGGACACGGCTGAGCCGATCAGAAAGTCTGCCAAAACAGGAAAATCCACAAAACTATTTATTGTGGTTATGTTATTGTGGTATATGGTTTTCAAATGTATGGTGAAGAGTGAAGGAAGGCTTGGGGATAGCTCCGAGGCAATAAAAGCTGAGATGCAGGGTTACTCACAAAAAATAAGACTTAAATGTCGACCCCAAAACTATTGAAATACACTGATCTATTAAATTATCCGGGGTTCCTCTCTCTTATATACAGGGTGACCCACATAATATTTGATCGTGTATAGCTCAAAATTGTGATTTTTGGGACTAATCAGAAAATTTCAAAACAATGAATCCTTTTTAAAAAATTAAAAGGTTTTTATTAAAGTTTTCTTGCCGAAAATACTAGATTTTTCGAGTATTTTGTGCGTATTTTGGCGTTAAAGCTTGGAGATAATCTAATATGATATGGACGCTCTGTATATGACTACTAAAAGTATGTTTACTGAATTAGCAAAGAAGGATAAGTGCACAGCCGCAGAATAACTACAATAAAATAAAAAAGCCTAACAATTCTGAATTGTCGCCTCTGAAGTCACATCCTGTTTGTATACGCTGCACAATTGCTGTGTCTCGTGTTCATTTTACTATTTCAAGCCTTAAACTTATTCTTAAAGTCGTCTTCCTATTGCAGAGTTTTCTGGTTACCACTGTATATTGAAATGTTTCCATCGGATAATATTATTTCTTATCAAAAGATTTAGCTGAAACGTATTTTTGAAAAATAAATTGACCGGTATGAATTAAACAGAAAGTATGGTTGAATATCATTTAAGCTCTCTTTCCCCCAAACTTCAGAAAAATCTTGTATTAGGAGCGCCCTGTAAGCTTAGTTATACAATAAAGCTCTGCTTTGCTCAATATACAGGGTGTCCCAATAAACACGCTGTATCTGGATACCTTCTGACAACCTGTAACACTTCAAAAATGACTGTTTTGAAGTTTCAATTAGATATGGATCTAAAAATTTTAAAAGTTTGGTAATAAGGGTTTTAAGCGGGAAACTTAAATAAGACATAAGACTATATTAATTCCGTACAGTCGCGTCGTCTTTTAATTCTCAATCCTTTTCGAGCAACCCTGTACCTCAAAATTAGTTTATTTTTATTTTTTTTAACTTAGATTTGACTATTATGGTAGTCTCCCTTAATAAGTTTATACTTAAATTTTTTGACATAGAATTTGACTATAATGGTAGTCTTGGAGCTATGGAATAAGATCTACATGTATTTGCCATACGTGTACTCTAAATTAGAAATAGTAGTTCAAACAAAGACTTTTTCTGAAAAGAATAATAATGAATACGTTTCTATAACCTGAACCCTACTCATCTCTAACCTGAACCCTACTCATCTCCAACCTGAACCCTACTCATGTCTAACCTGTACCCTACTCATCTCCAACCTGAATCCTACTCATCTCTAACCTGCACCCTACTCATCTCCAACCTGAACCCTACTCATCTCTAACCTGAACCCTATTCATTTCTAACCTTCACCCTACTCATCTCCAACCTGAACCCTACTCATGTCTAACCTGAACCCTACTCATCTCTAACCTGAATCCTACTCATTTCTAACCCGAACCTTGCTCATCTCTTACCTGAACCCTATTCATCTCTATTCTGAACCTTACTCATCTCTAACCTGAACCCTACTCATCTCTAAACTAAACCCTACTCAACTCTAACCTGAACTCTATTAATCTCCAACCTGAACCCTACTCATCTCCAAGCTGAACCCTACTCATCTCCAAGGTGAACCTACTCATCTCTAACCTGAATTCTACTCATCTCCAACCTGAACCCTATTCATTTCTGACCTGAACCCTACTCATCTCTAACCAGAATCCTACTCATCTCTAACCTGAACCCTACTCATCTCTAATCTGAATTCTACTCATCTCTAATCTAAACCATAATCATTTCCAACGTGAACCCTACTCATCTCTAACCAGAAGCCAACTCATCTCCAATCTGAACCTTACTCATCTATAATCTGATCTCTACTCATCTCTAACCTGAACTTTACTCATTTCGGACCTGAATCCTACTGCATCTCCAACCTGAAAACTACTCATCTCTCCAACCTGAACCCTATTCATTTCTGACCTGAACCCTACTCATCTCTAACCTGAACTCGAATAATCTCCAACCTGAACCCTACTCATCTCTAACCTGAACCTACTCATTTCCAACCTGAACCCTACTCTAACTCATCTCCTTTGAGGTCTAAACTCTCCACATTTTGTGACCTTAAAAATCAAATATTTTTATTCAAATTATAACATTTTAGATCAAAGTCTTTACTTTTTATATGAAATTCTCTATTTTTTTAATTTAAATTCTTAAAATATTATTGCAAAAATGTTATTTAAAAAGTTATTTTGCATTATCAGATTTTTATCAGATTCTACAAATTTTAGATCGATATCCCAGTTTTTTTTGGTAAAGTAAAAATTTGGATCTTTAAAAAATGTTGATAAATTTCTGCATCTTTTAGAATATTGTGAATCAAACACACGTCACACTTTGAACGGAGGTTCACTTTAAATTGCGTATATCGGTTCCATGACCATACTAAACTGAAACTTAGTACAAATATTCGAATCGAAAAATGTAAAACTAAATGCCTTATTTTTTCTAAAGAAAGGATTAATTGTAATGAAATAACCCCAATTTTATTGAATAAATTATCTTTACCATTTGTTAACGACTTAAAACATTTAGGACATGTTCGCAAAGTGATATTTCAATGACCATAGATTGCAATAAAAAACGAGCTATTTTCATTTCAAAAATTCATTCCCTTAACCAAGAATTTTATTTTAACAGTCCTAATGTTATTTTGAAACTGTATAATATTTATTGTTGTAGTTTTTATGGATCTAGTATTTGGGACTTGAGTTTCAAAATTGTATACAGCACGGAATACTGCTATTAGAATTCTTTTTAATGTACCTAGAGATACGCATAGGTACTTGATTGAAAGTATTTCACAATGTTTACATGTAAAAACTATGTTAGCTAGCAAATGTGTGTCTTTCTATGAGACTATTGAAGCAAGTTCTAAGCTTTGCATTAGATTTCTTCCTAATTTATGTAAAAATGACCTTAACACAGTTCTTGGCAGAAATTTATTTTCTATTGCGAATGATTGTTCTGTAAATCCTTCGGATCTTAGTAAAATGTTAGTTAAGCAACAAATGAAATATTTTGATGTCCCATTGGAAAATGCACATAGAAAGTTCAGGTTTTACAAGAACTTTTAAATACAAGAAAGAATAATTTATATGTTGAAGGATTCGATGATTACGTAATAACTGAAATGATAAATATGTTATGTAATGAGTAATAATCAATGTTGTCTATTTGTGCATAATTTTGCATATTTTCTCCTTTTCTTTTGGAAACCCGTATTTTCAAAAAATTTATTTAAACAAATTTAAACTACACCATTTATATATGTATTTATATCTTTGTGTGTGAATAAATCTTTATAATAATAATAAAATTATCCCAATTGGGCTATTTTTCTCTAATAAACAGAGCATCCAGTATCAGGTTGGATTATTTCCAAGCTTTAACGCCCAAAATACGCGGATAATACTCGAAAACCTGCAGGTATTTTCTGCATGCTAATTTTATATTAGCCATATACAATTTTTTAGAATGATTCATTCTTTTTAAATTTTCTGATTATCCCCGACAATCGCAATTTTAAGCTCTAAACGATTTGATATGATAAGGGACACGGACACTCTGTAGATTGTCCAGGATGAGATAGGGGAGTGTGATACATTTTCATAGTCTAACTTTTCAAGGCCTGCTCATAAAAAAATAGACCTTTAACTTCAATGGTTAGGGTGCTAGGGAGGGTTTTAAAAAGTTCAAGAAGTACTCCGGAAAAATGCTTTTTTTTTACTCTCGACACATATTAACATACGACGCATCATGTTATAACATAAACTTTTCAAATGGATTTTAGATCTGTTAATTAATAAAAAAATTATTCACTATTTTAGATTTTTTGGTACACAGACCAGCCGTTTGACCGTCCTCCACTCCCTGCATCCTAAATTATGTGCATAAAAAGTTTGTTCACAACTTTGAAGTTGATAAAATGAGATTCGTTAGACATTTTCAAGCTGTAATTCAGCTACCACTTCCTCGCTTAGCTTGCCTGATCTACACTATTGGGGATTTTATCCCCAATAGTGTAGATTCGGGGACTTGATAAGTTTCTTTAAAGTGCTAGATTTTTTTAGATTTTACATTCATTAATTGAAAAAATAGCTAAAAACGAAGAGATTTATTTATATTTTTTGTCCAGATTTCCATAATTGCTTTTTAAATGGTTACGATATTAAAATGTGAATTTGTAAACTTTTTTTAAACTGTTACTTCTAGAAAAATTGACTTTAAGATATCACAGCCCTAAATAATAACAAAAGTGGCGGCTAGTTTTGGAGATTAAAATTACTTTATTTGATTTTCAGCTGGCAGGGTTGGTCACGCAGCCGGCCTATGGCAAACCCGGGAAACCGCAGCTAAACCATAGCTAAAGAATATTTAACGAATCGGAACCATGCTTCTCGATCAATTCAAAAACTAATAAATAAGAGATTGAAAAATTTATTCAAATTCCATAAACAGGATTCACACAAGATCACAGAAAATAATATTTTAAGAAACTGTTCAATTTTATTCAGATTTCAGGACTGAGCAGATAACTTTTGAATAGACACAAAGTATTTCCGTCAATTCAAAAGTTGCCATCTCCTATTACGATGCGTACGTTATTGTGTGATCAATAAATCTAAGCATGAGCGCGAAACTCGGTTTAGTAATCATGGATCAAGTTTTTAACAATAATTTTTTTTTAAGAATTGAAAATTATTAAATGGTTATCAACAATTGAGACTAACATCTATTTAAGAAATAAAATTGGAGATATTTAAGTTTTTTTTTAATATAAAACTCAAATAAAGAGAGCTTATGAAGTAACTTTGATAAATAAAGAAATTCACTACTTGAAGAACCTTAAAATTCACTACTTGAAGAACCTTAAAATTACCGTTTTTTTCAGATTAAACTTTATCAAGTTCGGTTGGGAAATTGAAAAGTTTCTTAAAATTGAAATAATAATATTACAACGTCTAGTTTTAAATGCATAAATATAATCTTCTAGAAAAAATGTGAATACATGATAAAAATGCTTAAAAATTTGAGCCAAAGATATCGTTTTAGTTTTTTTTTTTAAGACCTTTTAGAGCGTAATAATCTTAAATGATTAATTTTAAATGAAACTTTTTGATTGAATTTCTTAGAAAGGTTGACGTTTAAGTGGCAGTGAATAATGATTATAAAACTTTTAAAACTTCTTGCTCAACTAATGATCTTATATAAAAATATAAAAAATGGTTAAACTAGTAATGAAAATACCTAAAACAAAAATTGGGGTTCCGAAACAATTTTCATTCAAAATATAGAAAATTTACAGCTTCGATGGTTTATTACAGTCAAATTTTCTATTTCATTTCTAGAGATTCAAATGCATTTTTTAAAGATAAGTGATCCATGATCATGTTCATTGTACAAATGCATTAATTAATTAAAATAAGTGATCCATGATGATCATGTACATTGTACAAATACATTGATGAATTAATAAGAAAAAGGGAAGTTTAAATATTTTAAAAATTGCACAACACAGAAAATCTTTAATATTGCTTAGGATCAATCCTTCAGATCGGATAATTAGTAATAACGTTTCGTAAACAGGAAATAAACTCTATTTTTTAATAAGCTGTATGAGATATACATACATAATTAAACAAAAAATGAAGAAATTTCTGTCTATTTTGCTAATCCTGATCCTAAGCACTAAAGATAAGACAGCTAACACTGATCTATGTTTTGTATTTTATTGTATTGTCGCATTTTCAGTCTTTCAGAGTCAGACTAAGGGGGTTAAAATGCAGTCTTGTACTGAAACCAGATTTTCAATTGATAAGTTTTAAATTTCTACATGTTTTTGGTATAGAATGGTATAAATGCTGTTGTAAGTCGATTAATTAATGGAAAAATATAAAAAGACGAAGGTTTGTTATTTGTACCGCTGTTCCTAATTAGTTTGTCTCCATTTGGATCCAAAGAACGGAAATTCTCCATTCGTATATTCCTGGTTCTCCTGTAACTCAAGGGTAGGTAGAGTCCTAGGCCAAGGTTTCTCTTGGTTCCATCCAACCTCCGGGTTCCAAGAAGCAGTCGTAGGATCAGGGTTCCATAAGGATTGTCCTTGGTCCGGGTTCCATGTTTGAGCTTGGTCCGGGTTCCAAGATTGACCTTGCTCCGGGTTCCAGAAAGAATTGGCGGAAGCTTGCTCCTTCCGTCCTTCCAGGCTAGAAGGAGAACTACAACCACTAGAGATTGAATAGGAACCTGCTGCCTCCTGTCTGCTTAATCTACTGCTAAGCTTAGCATATCTTATTCTACTAGTGCAACAAGGTCCCTAAAATATATAAGAAGCATATGAAAACAATAAGATCACTATCAGGCGCATATACAAGGTGGGGGGGGGGGGAAGGAACACCCCGCCGGAAGAGTGAAAACTATTTTTTGTTTTTCCAAAAGGGGATTTAGCCCCCTCCCCCATTAAATTGAGTCCTCCCCCTGGGCAAAATCCTGTGTTCGCCCCTGATCATTGATGGAGTAAAAATAAATATTTCAGTTTACAGTTTCAATTCCCCCCAATAGGTTGGTCCGGGTGTCTAAACTAAATGTTTAATATTAGTTACTTAAGTACTTACGTTACAGAATTGAATTGTAATACTGGATTTATCTATTGTATCAAGTTCTGCTCCGGAAACATAAACCATACTGGCTCCCTGCAGAATAGTCTCAGATCCTAAACTAGTTCCTTCAAGAGCTTCCTCTATGCAACTAAAACAGAAAATTAAATTTTAAAGGATATTTCTGAAAAAAATATGTTCGATGCGCGCTACAGATAGGATTGAGATTTTGTTTATACTAGGTTTAGGTGAAAGGTCGTATGATCGTGTCTTAAAAATCATTGTATCGTTAATGTAATATTTTTCACTTAAGGATTAGGTTAGAAAGAGTTATGGGTCGATTGCTGTGGCTAAAACAGGCTAGGGGGCCAAGCGCCGTGGCAAAGCCGATGCGGCCCAACATCTTTGCATATACCAAATTGTTACATTTAAGATTCTTTTACAAATTTGGTGAAAAAAAACTAATATGTTTTCACTTCTACCTGACCATTCATAATGTCGGAAGAATTACAGCCAAAAAAATTTAAGGCCCATATTCTCTAGATTAAAAAAATAAAGGGCGCTAAAATTTACTTGAAAACTTGACGTCCGTTTCATGATTGAGATGCATCAAAACTGCACTTTAAATCAACAAAATTAAAGATCAATGAGTAATGAATGAAACAACGCCAATCTGTTACCTTAAAGGGCTAGGATTATGATTAATATTCTCAGGTTTACTCCGATCCTCGAGCAAGGATTGTAATCCAAACACACTAAAGTCGGTGTTAGGTAAACTCCGAAGGGATCCGCCCTGGTTTAATCGAATATTCTCTCCTAGAACGTTCTGGGATTTGAAATCTGGCAACCCAGGCCTGGATCCAATACTTCCTAGAGCGTTATTCATGTTTATCCTTGGAACACCGATTTCTCCTATTTTTGTTTATCCAGTGGTTTAACCTGGATAGAGGGGAAGAGAAAGGCCTATAGTATAATAACACTGATCACCAAACCTCTCTTTTTAAACTAGAATTAAATTATATTCAAATCTAAAATCTTTTCACAAAATATTATTAGCCTGATAATGCATTCTCTTTATCCCAATACTTTTTATATAAAAATTACCAAACATGATAATTTTAATAACAAAGTGTTGCATTTTTATTTACCAGTGAGTGTTGATCTTAAAATTTGTTTGTCTAGAACTCAGCTGGGAATACTAAATGTCGAACGAGAAGTCAGCGTAAACAAAAACTTACTATTATTTAAATCCCGGCGCGGTCTTCGAGCTCTTCGTCCTCTAGCGTGTTTATTTTTTGTTTCTATCAACAACATTTAAGACGCCTGCCTATAGTGCGTATAGAAATAAACGTTTATCAATCAATCAATTTCTATCAACAAAACGTTTTAACTTTATTATTCTAAATTAGAACTTTCCATTTAAAGATTGAATATCCATGCATTTTATTGTTTAGAAAACAATAGAAATATTATTTATTAATTTGTCGGATATATGCTTTCATTTCTCTTATACTGTGTTTGAAATTTTATGAATTTTTTTAGAACTAATTGTGTATTAAAATGTCGTACGGAGGTGGTCAAAAAGTGCAGAAGGTGATGGTGCAGCCCATAAATCTTATCTTCAGGTAGCAATTTTGATAATGATATCTATCAATTATTACGGACAGAAGAAACATCCAGGTGATGACATTCATGTCGACATAATTGGTATTCCTGGTGCAACCATCAAAATGCTCAACCACGCCTTCATGGCCGAATTTAAGAACAGCTACAGACCGATGTTCTGCTTGTTGGAGGGCTGAACGACGTCATGAGGGCAAGATCTCTAGACAAGATCAAGAAGGACCTGACCAACTTCAAGAGAGACGTGACCTCACTTAAGAGATCCTGCGGAGGCAAAGTAGATTGTACGCTTGCTGTTGCTACAGTTCCCTACCCTCCAAAGATCCCTGCATTACCAACTGAATAGAGAGTAGTTGAAGCAAACCGGTTTGACACCCTCAGCAAAATGACGGACTTCATTAGAGAGTTGAACAGGACTGAGGTTAACACTGCTCATAGCATTCCTCGGGGATCATACAATGCTCCGACATATCATACTTGGGATATGAAAACTGTTCATGCTGATCCAAACGTCTATGGCCCAAGGAACCGAATGGAAACTATGGTGGGATACAGAGCCCCACAATGGAGAGAAGAGGTCTACGAAGAAATGGTCCACCTTGATAATAAATCCCGTCTTAGGATGGGTAGAGCGGCCATCAAGTACTTCATGGTACTCTATGATCTGATTAAGTGCAGTGCTTATTCAAAGGTCAAAGGCCTCGAAATTGAGAAACGTTAAATAGAGCAGGAGTACAGCTATTCCAAGAAGTGTAAGTTTACACAGGTTATGCATTAAAAGCTGCAGTTCTAACATGCACATTCTAATATTTCGGTGAATCGCCCTTTGTTTTATTTATTTCTATTATGTCTTCATTTAATTGGGTGAAACGCCGTTCTAGTTTTACTTCAATATTTTTCATATATTTCTTTTATGGTGAAACGCTGTATATAAAGTAAAAATTACTCTCACAAAATTGGTCAAAGGAAAGTTCTAAGAATTTTGAAAAGGAAAATTCTAGCTACGGCAAATAAGAAATTAAAAAGTTTTAAATATTCAGGCTTCAAATACTTTAATTCATTAATTGAATTTCAACAATTGAACTGTAAGATCTTAAATTCGAGACCTCAAGTACTCGAAACACTATAATTAGTAAATAGCCTCTTTCTCGTCCTTAAACATGATCTATCTTATGTTTCCGCAAAAGTCAAAACCCAGCTTAGGTCAATACATGAATCTCATACAACTAGTCTCCACATTTAATCTATCTTGTTTTAAACACCTATCGTCAACAATTCAAAACGAGATAATACTGGTTACTTACTGGTGAATCGCCTCACCTTCTTTCTATTTTTCCACTTTTTTTGTAATTTTTGGTAATTTTTTCTGATCCCCCTCATAGTTTCTGCTTTTTCCTACATGTTGTAAATCGACCTTTATATTACAGTCTAATGCTTTTGCTTCAGAAAGTATATAAAAAGGTCTTTTATTGTAAGCATTTTTTCGTTCTATCGTGGTCAATTATAAATGCTTATGTTTAAAACACCTCTCGTTAACATTTCAAAACGAGATAACATTGGTTACTTACTGGTGTATCGCCTTATTCTTTTATTCTTGTACGTTTTTCGCTTCTTGTTATTTTATATTTTTTCTGATCACCCTCTTAGATTATGCTTTTTGCCACTTGTTGCAAATCGCCCTATATTTAAAAAGCGAAAATGTATTTTTTTTTGTCCAGGACGATCTCTTATTAACTTTTGCCAGCTTACTTTACTGAATTTACTTTACTTTAAAATTAAAACATTAAAAATGTGTCATTTACCAAATATTTACGATTTCTATGTAAATAAATGATGCTCTATGTAAAATATTAAAATCAAAATGTACGTGTTTTTGATATATATATAAAGTTTACTTTGTTATTTTTGTACTTTTTGATCAATAAAAAGAATTGAATAATAAAAATTATTACGGGCACAGCGCTACGGGCTGTGTGTCCAACTGTGTTCATGTGTTTCATTGTGATCCACAAAATTAAATTGCCATAGCCAGTTCCAGCCGCAGCTCTACGATGAAACATAATCTGTTTATTGGAGTAAATTAAATTATAAGTGTTTCAAATTACTCTAAACATTTTTTTAAGTGTTGAAGCTTTTTTTTCGACAAATATTTTATATTATTTTACTTGGGCAAGGATTCCTTGCGCCTCATGGGGAATATTGTAGGAAATTCTTCTTGGTCATGATAAAGGTAGCCAGGTCTTTCAATTAACCATGGTCAGCATGAAGTTTATTAAGCACTTCTCCTAGTTATTTGACATTCTATATTTGTTTTCATCAAGCAAACTTGTTTTTACAGTCCTGGCTTCCTTTTAGGGCTTACATTGAAGATTTTATTAGAGGGGATGGTGGAGTTGGCACATTTGATGTAGGGGGGGGGGCCCTGCCTTCATTTTTGGTTCAAATCTTCCAATTTTTTGGGTGCACGCCTAATTAGTGATCGAAATTCATAAAATAAAATCAAATTGAATTTTAATGACCTCTAATGACCTCTAATGACCTCTAATAA